ATTAATAAAAATGTTGTAATTATAAAGAATACACATTTTCTCTTTTAATTTACATGAGATTATATAGGGAAAGTACCCAAATACATATACAATACGCCTGAAATAATTCCTTTCTTATTTTTATGCCTTACATTTTTCATCATGCAAAATAAATTTTACAGATCAAATGTATAGAACATATGAGTTGAAATTAGAATTCATATAAGTTCTCTTTAAAGTAAAGTCTGTTACTATTTGATCTACAACAAATCCTTTATTAAATCAACAGTATGACTTCGAGATTTTACGCTTTTAGAATAATTTAAGTTGTTTTAATATGTAACTCTAACTATTTTAAGTCAATATTAAACCTAGACTTCAAGAACGGAAGACTATACATATTTCCTTTTAGTTTATTTGTTTTAAAGCAGTTTTCCTATCGATTCATATTTGGTTTATATCTATTTAAATTTAATTTTCACATTTGGTAATTTGAAAATAATAAATTTTATTAAATATTATAATAAAGTTAATAAATAATAATAAATTTTATTAAATATTTTACTAAAATATTTTAATAATTGTTTTTAAATATTTTATTCTGTGAAGATCATTATATAATTTAATATTTATCCTCCAGTATTTTATGTTTGGACATTTTAAAATTCCTTATTAGATTCTATTAGATTCTTTGGGAAAGTGTCGGAAAAAAGTGTCGAAGTGTAGGGGAGGAAACTTTGGGACCATATCGTTTAAATGTGCTGCAAACTTAATATACTGCTAACTTAGATCATTTATTGTGTAATTTAAACTTGATCACACGATTGTAGAATTCAACTTTAACAGAAGCCCAGTTTAATAAGTAAATTGCACCGTAATAAGTAATACCTTAAAAAAATTGCACCGTATTATAGTTCAGCATTGAAACTATTTTCTGGAAGTATTTTAAATCATATTACTTTCTTACTGAAAAATCAAGTATAAGATGATTCTAATTATCATTTTAGGGAATTTAAGAACAGTAGTTTAAAAAAAATTAGAAGCAGGTCAAAATGTATGGCTTGATGCATTCTGCATAGTCCAAAGTTTATGTTCCTAAAATTTTAAAATTGCTTATATAATCATTTAAAGATGGCGCTGTTAATAAGAGAATCATAAAAATGTTTTTTTATTGCATGTCAGAGCAATCCAACTAAAATTTTTGCTCGAACATCTGTTAATTTTATCCATAAATTGAGCCACGTTGTTGTTTCAAATTGACTAAACACAGGGGGTTCCACGTTCGGCTGACCTCCTGACCGGAACATCTGCTCCTGCATCCCAAGGTCAGGAAAACTGAGATAGGTACAGTAGGCTCTGGCCCTCTATGAGCTGTCACGGCACTGAGTTTATACACACACACACACGCATATATATATATTTTAAATAAGAGGATACNTATATATATATATATTCTTAGCTTTTACAACGGGTCGGCCAACATTATTAATGAGAAAACTAGAAAACTATATCAAACATCGCTTGTTTAAAAAGTTACGTTCATTTCTCTTCTTTAATTTGAATAAAATATTTCAACACATTTTTCTTTAAAAAAAAAGTATAAAGTTATAATTAAAATAATTTACATTAAAATTAATTATAACATTTTTAAAGAAAATCTATAGCGTTAATCTGTTACTTAACACAAGGAGGAAAATACCATAATATTCTGGCACTATATCTGATATTTTATCGAAATAATCGTAGCGAAATAAGTAATTTTCTAATATTAGCCATCTTGACAACAGCTGGGTAAAGTTTTCTTCACAATCGATTTGCCGTTATGGTGCCCTTATTAGTCTTGACAAAGTCTATTAATAAATTATAACTGGAGGGTCTTTCCGACGAGTTGCAGTCAGTGTTGCATTCAAATAATATTATAATTAGTGTAGAATATTGGCATGGTTTCCCTTTAAGGTAAAGTAACACAAAGGAAAAACTATTTTACCTTTCTGAGCAAATAATGTAATTATAGATGTGATACTATAAGTTACTACAAAGTTACAATAAATGAAATAAAACAGAGATATAAGACTGAAGTGAAAAATATTTATTCTCAAACACCTCTTTTAGATCATTATGTAATACTGAATAACAAAGGTGTGCAATTTTTTATGTGAGCAAAATTTTTAACCGATTTTGACCATATTTGTTGCATCGATTTCATTAATGAAAATTGCACTTTTTTTTCTTATATGGTATCGTCTAAATATTCAATGCAAATAAGTTCTAAAATATGATATTCTTGCCAATCTTTAGTAGTTCATATTGCCTTTGCTTTTAATCTGATTTTGAAAACTTTTGCATGTCACATAATTTTCTCCTAGACGCTTAGCTTTATTAACTAACGAAATATGTTATTTTTGTAGAAATGCAAACGCTTTTTACGAGTTGGTTGTCGCAGTTTTCGTATTATATCTGTGTTTTTTTTCCTTATAAGAAGACAAATTTTATCCAATAGCGTTTTTTTAGATTCCATGGGGATATTTTCATATGTTATCTTGCCATAGTAAATTCTATACCGTGTATAAAATAACATATTGACCTGACCTTTACTTGATTAAAAACTTCATTCGCTTCAAAAATGTGTAAATAGGAAATAAACTCCCATATGTTTCAAGAGCTCAAGAACAGGTACCCAATTTCAAAACTATCCAGGGGGGAATCAGAAATAACAAAAGTGATTTTAAGGAGAAAACGAATAGTTACCATCAAATAATGAAAAAATAAAGGTGAGAAACAATGCTAGAAAAATCACAGTAGCCGAGAGAGAGAAAAAGATGAAAAAAACAGAACAGAGCAAAATATTTTTTTAATACTGAGTTATACTTTTGACTTAATAAGGAGATAATTTTTAATTCAAGATTATACTCTACACATTTTAAAATAAGTAGTCCAAGATTTAATATGATATACTGAGTATTTTTTACATTAAAATTTTGATGCCCAGACTGAATATTTTGTAGAATTGCCCAGTGCCTTCAAATCGAATGAATGTAATGTTTTATTATCGAGCCTGGTTTGTGATGTCTTCTGCTTGAAAGCAATAACAAGCTGGGGGAGTAATAGTTTTAAAATAACATATAAAATGACTTGTATCAACATAAGGGTAAGCTTAACTCAACTTTTTAAATGGGGTTATTTATTTTCAACAAGGCTTTCTAGCAATAAATAGTTATTCTACCGGTTGGGTAAATTTCAATTTTGAGGCTGTCTATAGTTAACTTAATAGAAAACTAGTTCACTTATCGCTGTAAGGAACAACAATATAATATTTCACGTAAGCTGATTCTGCATTAGAGTAATAAGAAAATTTTATTTGCATAAATTAATTTTAAGCAATAAGAAGATTTGTAAACAGGTATTAATTATTGAAAACAGTTCCAAAATAACAAATTTCGGAATATTTCCTAATAGTTGAATGTTTCGTATAATAGTGGCCAAATTATTTTAAAACTAGTTGCCCTACAGCTTATTTCTGCCACTCTGTAAAAATGTCCGAATCAAAACACGGTATAAAATACCGATACGTCCGTAAGATCCATTTTATCTTAAAATATATTTCACCATAAAATATTATACAGTAATATTTACAGTGATATTTATTTAGGTAGAGTGATTCAGTGATTTTACGGTAATTATTTCTGTAAAAGTTACAGTGTATCAGATTTTTTGTTCTGTAGTATGTTCCGGTAAAAACGAATTTTATGGTAAAAATCTCGAGGTTACAGTTGATCCGGATCGATTACTGCTGATCCGTAATTTCTTACAGTATATCGAACAAAAGAAATGCCAAATCATGCAAGAAACGGGAAATAATATACTAGTTAGATTTTGAAGCTCTATTTCTCAAAATGGATATGGAGTTAGATTGCTATTCAAATAATTTTTTCAATTAATCTTTTGTTTCCTAGAGTAAGATTTAACTAAACGGAATTTTAAATATTTTATTTTTGAAGTAAAGTTATCACATCTGAAAATAAAGCGCTACAAATACTCATTTCAGAAAAAAGTGCTACTTTTGCAAGTAAATAAATCATAACAAATAATATACAATATTATATACAACATGTAGAAAAAGTTAGGAAAAGATCAAATATTTCGAGAACGATTCATGGGATCGAAAAGTGAATCTAAACACATTTAATATTTTTAAAAGCTATCCCACGGAGGTGAGGTGGAGGTAAATTTGAAATATTAAATAAAAATACCCATATTTTATTGCATATTTGGATTCTCCCGAAAAAATTATTAGTGCTGTAAGTTTATGCATTTTGCAATGCAGATGGCACTGCCGAGAAAAATTATTAAAAAAAAAGGATACAAACTATTTGAAATGGCTGTAACTCAAGATCCATCAGATTAAAAATAAAAACAAATAAAATTCAAATAAAATTCGATATTATTTTCCAAAAAAAAACATTTAAAAAAAATCGAGAGAAATTTTTTTTTCAAGAGATCTACTTTAATCTTCTCATTAAAAACATTTTCAAATAATTATTGAACAATTTTATATTATTGTAATTGAAAATGGAAATAAATATAACTAAAATTGCTTTGATACTTTTTTGAAAAGCAAAATACAGAAAATCGATAAAAATATTTTTCAACGTGTCTATTTTGATCTTCTTAATCTGATGGGTCTCGAGATTCACCGTTTTAAACAGCTTGTACCCTAATCAACTTTTCTCGGTTACAGCGCCATCTGTAAAGCGAAATGCATAAAGCTATAACTCAATTAAAGTTACCTTTTTCGCTGGGGATTCCGAATCTGCCATAAAAAAATAAGGATTCATAAAGATTTCAATGTTCTCCCTCACCCCACCTTCAGGTGTGTGGAGAGTGGGTGAAAGATCGAGTTTGGTATCGTTTTAAAGCTTTTAAAAAACATTGAATGTGACTAGTTTCACTTTTTCGATCCAATTTTGACATCTCGAGATTTTTGACCATTTTCAAATTCTTTTACACCCTGTTTCTCTTACCAGTTATGTGCTGTGTTTGATGCGTCATAACACCTTTAACAGTGACTTCAGCCAACACTCCAGGTTTCATGGAAGATAACTGATTTTTCCTCAAATCCAAAGTCAGATATCGTATGTCTGTTAAATATCTAAGAAGGCCTTCTGGTAGTTCTGTCACGGCTGTGTTGCTGATTTTTATGGTCAGTTCGTGAGTAATTAGACCAGCAAACGCATCTGGTAATATTCTTTCCAAGTTCCTGCCAGTAATCACTAATTCTCGAAGTTTAGTACCAAAAGCTCTCTGTACTTGGTGTGATAAAACTGGCTCCTCGATATCAATGAGAACACTTTGGAGGGCGGAGGCTTGAGAAAGTAAATCTTGGAGACGGAATGATCTCACGGAAGGGTACGAGTCAGTTTTAAACACGGTCAGGAATCTGAAATTGTTTAATAACATTTTCAATAAACTGACTGTATTTTAAGCATTTTTTTTTTGTTGTAAAATGAGTATTAACAGTTATTTTGTAAAGTTTTGATTTTTAAATCTTGGAGACGGAATGATTTCGCGGAAGGATACGAGTCAGTTTTAAACACGGTCAGGAATCTGAAATGGTTTAATAACATTTTCAATAAACTGATTGTATTTCAAGCATTTTTTTTTTTTTGTTGTAAAATAAGTATTAACAGTTATTTTGTAAAGTTTTGATTTGTAAATCTTGGAGACGGAATGATCTCACGGAAGGGCACGAGTCAGTTTTAAACACGGTCAGGAATCTGAAATGATATAATAACATTTTCAATAAACTGATTGTATTTTAAACATTTTTTTTGTTGTAAAATGAGTATTAACAGTTATTTTGCAAACTTTTGATTTGTAAATCTTGGAGACGGAATGATGGCGCGGAAGGATACGAGTCAGTTTTAATCACGGTCAGGAATCTGAAATGATTTAATAACATTTTCAATAAACTGATTGTACTTTAAATAGTTTTTTGTTGTCAAATGAGTAATATCAATTATCTTCTAAACTTTTGATTTGTTATAAGTAAAACAGAAAATTATATGATTTTTAAACATATGAACGAAATAAGACAGCTAAGTTATGCTGCTTCTACCCATGGCAACAAAGCATGTTGTTACATTCATATACGTTATATTTTCATATGCTGTTTTATTTATCTTTGTGTTTTCTGCTATGTTGCTTAGTATATTTTTCTTTTTACTTGGAGGCCCGACCCCTGCTCGCTTTACCTTTACGCGCGAGTCTCTTTTTCACCATAAAAAAATTGTTGCATCAAAATATTTAAAAAAAAATTATTCAGTTAGAAGATTCTAAAGTATTTTATTGTATTAATAAAGTATTGGCTCAGGTGATTGAGTTTCCAAATCTATTAGGATAAAATGTAAATTTAATTTGTTTGTTCAGTTACCATTGCAATTTCATTCTCACACTTGTTTTTAAATTCATATTTAATTTCGGTTACTAAAATAATTGTTGAATGTTTTTTTTATCAAAAATATTAGCAATCAGCAATGTGAAAAATTATTTCTTTTTAATGTTTTACATTTTTGTGTTCATTATTTATTTATTAAGTTGCCTGTATCCTAATATACATAGAGCTTATAATTACGTCAGAGAATTCTAAAACTGATAAATAAATACCAGGTTAAATTAAATTGAAAATGACATATTTTCCAGTTAAACAATATCTTTATGCAAATGGAAACTGATTCACATCATGTGTATTTTCCAGAGAATGAGAATACACGTACCAACCATCACTTTCACTTGATTTTTATGCATATTTATTTCACATTTTTTGCCTCATATTTTTAATTTATTTTACTTTTATATGATTTTATTTTTTTCTTTACCTTTTTCGATCTTTTTGATTTCTTCTTCTCACAGAAAGGAAATTTTCTTTGGTGCTCAAATGAGCAAAAACAACATAAACTTAGCCATTTTATTTATTTCATTTTAAGGACTAATTTAAAGAAAAAAATATTCTTCTTTACTGAAAATATGAAAGAAAAAAAGACTAGAATAGAAGACGAAAGAGTACGTAAGTATTATATCAAACATTATAAAGTGTTTGAATTAAAATACGAATAATATCTGAAAATAAA